GAAAAATTACAAGTCCTTAATAGGGATATAATACTCATTACTAATCCGGCGAGCTACAAGCAAAAAGAAAAAGAAAATCAACAAGCCAAAGAACCCTCCTAAATACAATCATAAAGAAATAAAAGCAAAACCTAAAATTAAAAGAACTAGTAAGGCCAGAAACGCAGCATAGTTCAGGATTTAGATATGCATAAGTTTACTCTGCGTCAGAAATTTTTTTTCATTGAAAGCTTCATAGCAACCACAAACGCAGCATAGTTCAGATTTTTAGCATATATACCATAACGTTTCAAACTGATATCTTTTTTATACGATAAGATATATCGAGATCAAAACAAAACAGGTATCAATGATCGTGTTCAGATCTATCTACCCAATAGAGGGTGTGCGGTTAACCTTTCCTTCGGAGTCCACCCAGATCCAAACACGATTTGTTCTAAAATCCGCAATCACCACGCCATCTGGACCAACAACATGTAGGTCAAGTGCTGGATTTTCTTCCTTGATCCTCTTCTTCGCCTCTTCACCTGTAAGCCCCAGCAGTTCCGGCCAGCTACGTCGAACTGAACTTTCTCCTTCACAATGAAAAGTATGCATTAGATCGAATGATCGGCTTTGTTATGGAAGTGGAATGCAAAGGAAGTGGGGAACTGAAATGAACTCACCTTCAGACTTCGTGTTTGCAGCGTTGTTGGTTTCCCCATCCATATTGAGACGATGAAAAGTAGAGAAGGAGAAGGAGAATGGGTTTTTCTTCAAATCCTTTGCTCCGCCGTGAAATTTATTTGTTAAAGCTGCATCCTTTCCTCCGTTGAAACTGAAAGACGACTTTGCAGCTGTAGAAGAAGGGCTAAATTATTATTTATCTTCATTCAAAATGCGACAAATATTAAGCCAAATTTTCTGTTTTTTATATGATTTTCCTTCTGTAATCCATTAACGTTTAATAATGTTGATTGCTATTGTCAGTTTTTAAATCTGAAAAACTATTAGAGAGCATAGAGACTAACACAAATGAAGAACAGAAAAAACAATAAAAACAGGTAAGAGAAATCATTGAAAAAGTTATTGCCTTCTTCCTTATCCAATCTCACAAGCTGCCATTGGCAGACCAGCCATCAATGTCTGTTAAATTTAAAAACATCTTGTGATTTTATACATGATGAGTTCTTTCTCTAGAATGTATCATCTCTTAACATTATAAAAGATAGACATTTTATAAATTAAAAGATCAGAGAGTAATTCCCTTCTTCTTAAAGAGCAAAAATTCTAAAGAAATTGATGAAATCTTAGCTTTTACTCTTCCTTGTCTCCTCTTTTACTCCCAACATTGCTTTTTTTTTTTCTTTTCTTTTCTTTTTTTTAATAGTTACTTTGTTTTATAAAGCACATCTTCAAAGTTAATTTCTTATTTCAAATCTTGCAATGCCACAACTTATTATCCTTAAATCAATAAATGGACCCTCATTGTACATATGAAGTAGTCACATACTTGAAATTAGAAGGAGATTTGATATATGAAGAACTCTTGAGCTTTACTTGATATTCAACGATGACCACTACAAGTCACAATCATTGTCCCTAGCCATAATACAATTGTTGTTGCCCGATTGTCACCATCCAACCTGTCACGCCTTAGAATCTTATTTGAAAGAATTCTTTATTTTATCATTTAATAATAACACCAGAGCTATCTATCTTCTTTTATTAATAAAATTATCAATGAAAATAAAATTATTGATCAAAACATCAATATATATACATATGTATTCATTTTCTCAAAAATCGTGTACGCTACTCAAGATTTGTACAATCATAACATATATAGCAGTGTATATATCGGTAATAGTAATTGTTCAGTGGTAGGAGTAGTAAAATAATGCAATAACTACACATTCATGCAGTAACCATAAATTCAAATACTAATGAACAATACCTCAATAAGATGCATTTTAATGATCATACTAAAAATTAACTAAGAAGTTTTGGCTAGCATGCTATTTTTTTGTAATTAGTAATCATTAGTAGGTAATTGTTGGTTTAGTAAACAAAATTGTCACTCTTTACCCATTTGCACAATAATAACACCTTAGAACTCCCAATCATTATATCGTTATATTGTTTTATCAGTAGATGATAACATATAATCACTGTAATTAAAGAAAAGTCTGTTGGTCCACCATCATGTACAGAATAACCAATCTATACTTGTCTTTTACAAATACATATTATTATCACAGTACTATAATAATAATAACGATCAACTATTACTCAATAACATATCCCCATTCATTTTTAATGTATTAGTAAATAAATCATAATTGAGCTTAAATCAGAAAGTTCCAAAATATCTTAATGGTAGGCAACATAAAATCCTACTTAACATAAATTCATATTTTCATAAATTAATAAAATTGTCAAGGATTGTATATAATAATATTATGAAGCTTTAATTGAACTAAAACATTATTTTTAGATATCAAAATAAATTTTTAAATTGATAAAAATTGCAGCTTTTTTAAAATCACATAGCGAATACTTTTTAGAATATATTCAAAATATTCATAATATTAACATCTATAACATATAAGAATTAAGTAGTGAAATTTTTATCAAAAAAAAAAAAGTTCTCCTTTTTCGATAATGAAAATACAAATTTGATCTGAAAAGCTTAAAATGACTAAATTATTGAAATAGAAAAATATGATAATAGTTTATTACAATGAGGCTAGTAAATCTCCTAATAGAGTCGACGGATGAAAATTGCTTTATAGCTTCCAAATTCCAATCTCTCTCTTCTCTTTAAATTCTCTTACCAAGCTCTCTGTTAGCCAAATTGAATGGAAAAAAGAAAAGGCTTTAATGGATTCATTAATGGAATATGGTATTTATAAATAAAACAGTAATAATAAAATTATATAATTTAATTAATTTTTCAATATAAAATTAATAGAAATCTTTTCGAGGCTAAAAATTATAGGAAATTATCTATAAAATAATTCATTTTATTTAAAAATGTCTTGTGAAATCAATTTGCAAAATAGGCACCTAACAGTCCAGAAATCCTCACTTGTACTGACATTTGTCAATTTCTTAAGGATTTGCACTAGTGCTAAAAAATTAGTATAATTAAATCACTACAATATTTATGTTATGATGAAAATGATTTATATTTGGACTTATAATGATTCTTCAAGATTTGTCTCTACAATATCTATGTTGTGACGAAGATGGTTTGTGATTTGGACTTATAATTAAATCACTACAATATCTTTATAATACTGACATTTATCAATTTCTTAATGATTTTTTAAAAATTTTCTTCACTAAAAAGAAACATGAGGGCAATTAGTAGAGTCCCTAGAGCCTTGATGATAAGCTAGTAGTGAATATGTTTCTAACTAAGGGGTTGTTTGATTGCCTAAAAAGGGAATGCAGTACAAAAGAAATGTCGTGTAAAATGAATGCGGTGTAAAAGTAATAATTTGGAGTTATTTGAATGAGTGTAAAAGAAATGCATGACTTAACTTTTTTTGTTAGGTTTGAAGTAAATTTAATGCAATGTAAAGTGTAAAAAGGTTATGCTTGAGGTGGGTGGTGATGGTCGTAGGGCTACGAGTGATCAGCGGTGGTGGCGGGCAGTGGCTACAGTGGTGGTGGCTAGTGGTGGCCGGCGGCTGGTGGAGGTAGCGTCAGCTAGTGGAGAAGATGGCCTTGGACGATGTTGAAGCAAGCAAGCGAGTGGTGAAAAGCATTCTCGCTCAAAATTGGGTGAGAATGCTTTACCTCAAAATAAAGCTAGAATGAAATATACTGCATTTACTTTATTTTACCTTAGATTTGCTTTTCATCCAACCAAATATGTAAAAGTTCAAAACCCATGTATTAGAAATGCAATGCATTCACTTTTCTTCTAACCAAACAACACCTAAAAAAAACTCTGATCAAATGTGATAAACAAAATCTCTACTAAATTGAAAATCTTAAAAGGGTAAAAACTTCACCCAAGCACACCACTGATGAACCCTTGCAACCCAACTGTAGTTATTGGACCTTTGCCTGACTATCACCATCAGACATTTATTTGGATGCCACCATCGAGTCTCCGCTTGACCCTCGTCTGTCAACTACGGTTCTTCCAATCTCTATCACCTACCAACTACCATCATTTGACCTCAGTCGTCCGAATATGGTCATTTTGACCTTTATTTCCTGCCAACTATGGTTATTTGGACCTTTGCTTGGCCATCTTCACATAACAACGGTCCCTTTGCCCTTCGCTGCCTATCGAATATGGTCCCTTTGACCTTCATCGCATGACAATAATCCCTCTGACAACAGTCTCATGACAATGGTCCCTCCGATCACCATTACATGACAACGATTCTTTCGACCTCCATCTCTAACTAGTTATGGTCTCATCGACCTTCGTCACCCAATTATAGTCCTACAAGCCAAACAACCATGCTAATGTTCTCTTGAGATCAACTGTTATGTCATTGGATTCTTACAACTCCAACTATGCAATATACTCTACCTGATGTATATTTACACGTCGTGCCAACACCTTTCTTTGAGGAATGACATCATTTGTAATCAATGATTGATGCAAGTGGAAACTTTTCAACTGGGCAAGGCCCTCTGATTTTCCACTTTTTAGAGTTTTCCACATAAAAAAAAAATGTTGCCTCTTACAATTGTTGTACCCCTCTTTTTATTTGTGTGTGTTAGATATTCATATAAAACTAGAACATTAAACACTCCTCTCTACCGCCGTAAATGTTCGAGCATGCAACAGTTCCCTTCTTCAAAACCCTAAGAAGGCTTAATGTATTTAAAAGTGCATATTTTTCTAATTCTTTAAAAAATCTCATAATACTAAAAGCCTCGATATGAATAGGTTTCTCCCATTCTTTAAGTGCGGTGTTGCCTGTATCAGGAGTAGTAGCGAGGAATCAAGGAAAGGAAAAGGATAAAGTGCGATATGGTTACCGGCGATTCACTAGCCGGTCTACCTAGGGTTTTGACCGGTTCCAGGGTGGGAAAACCGGTGCCATCGGTTACAGAGTTGTAACGGCCATGAGTGGGGCGGGGCGGTCCGCTCCGGCTCGGATCGCCAGGCGAGTTTTTTCTCTTTCCCGTTCGGTCATTTCTTCTTGCTTTGTTCTTTCTATTTCGGAGGGAACGCTCGAGTTCTTACTTTTTGCACGAGGAATTGTTTGGCGCTTCGGTTGCGAGAAGTCAGAATGGTTGTCGCGGGGAGGAAGCTCTTTCTTGAGACGGTTATTCGAAGGTATGCTGATTCGTACTTTTTTCAGGATTTGTGATTGTTTTGAGGTGAGATTTCTGAATTTATTTCTGTTTCCTCCGGCATTAGAATTGTTGAACCCGCTTTCGATAGATCTTTGCGCTCAGGATTTAGATGAAGGATGGTTGATTTATTTAAGGTAGAGAATTAGGGTTTGTATGCGTAGTTTTGGTTTCATTGAAGCAGATTCAGTTTGTGCTGACTAGTTTTCTCTTCTAATTTTTGGGAGAGAATTTACGCTGCAAATGTAATTGGTAGTGCATTCAGCAGAAACCCTTTCCTTTACTTTTCTCCACCTATAGGCTTTAGGTGTTTTATTCGTTTTAAGATGAAAGAAAGCGTTTTGTTTGTTTGAATTAATGACAAGGTTATTGATTTGATAAAGTATGTGTGATTTGAGGTTTGTTTCTAGTATTGAGTTTCGGTATTCATTTCAGAGGTTTGTTCTTCCAGGAAACTTTTGAAAGCTCTTCTCGTAGTGGAGAGCTATGTTATATCTTCTTTACAAATGGAAGTTAGGAGCTATAACTTTAAACCTTGGGAACCTGAATTTTTTTCAGGAGTTGGTGTCTGGAAGTTCTCTGCTCCGTGTTTTTCTGAAAATTTTCAGCTAAACGTAATCTAGTTTAGAAAGAGGGTCAATTTTTTATGGTAGTTTTCTTCCAATGGCTGCATGAACTTATTAGATCATCTCCAACCGAAAATCTCATTTTTCACTCCAAAATGCCGGAAACTACAAAATGCCGTGATTTCATCTCCAATGGAACGCGTTTTTCACCCTTTTGCAGTTAACCGTCGCCTCTTTTTTTCCCGCGACAAGTTCGGTAGAGTGGTAAAAATGGCGGAGATGAACAGTGCAACGCCAATATTGGCGTCCCACTGTTCACCCGCAGCCATATAGCGGAAATTTTGCAGTTCGGCTGGAGCTGGCCGGGAGCTCCATTCAAGCGTTTGGAGGTCGGTTGGAGATGCCCTTATGTTAATGCCTGCTTTAGTTTTAGATCAATTATTTATGTTGATGCCTGCTTTATTTTCAGATCACTTAGATTCTCTCGTGTATCCTTTGAACTACTTTTCTTTTACTCCATGTTTATATCTTACTACCAGTCGAATTTTTTCTTCTTTCTTAGAATTTTTTTTTAAAATTGAGTTGCTATTCTCCACTTGCTATCGTGGTAAGTATCGGGCTCATAGCCAAAATGTTCTTAGACCATTCTTCGTAGAGTGCTTAACATCATTTAGAAGAAACAATAACAATTCCACTATCAAAAGCGTGAACTCTAAGTCATAATAAGGACCAAAAGGTGTAACCAATATACTGTTTGTGTTAATGAAGTGTCTTGGGACGATGAGGGATGCGCACTTACCTCCTACATTTACATTGAAGTTTTTTTTCTCTATCAATTGAACTTGAGACCTTTGGAATACATTAACTGGATTGAGTTGCTAGCCAAGGAAATTCATTGAATGTGACGGGCAAAATGATGGTTTTTTCGACCCTAAAACTGATGATTTTCAAATGCATATACGGGATCAGCAGTTGGATGGAGTTTATCTATAAGTAGGTCTAAGCTAAGAAATTTGGAGTAGAAGAGGACATTGACAACAATGTCAACCTTCAACAATAGTGTCAACTTCCCCTACCACAGGTTGTTTAGTTGCATCATTATTATCATTGGGGCAGCCCCCTAATAATTTAATCCCAATATCAGCATGCAGGACTTGGCGGATGCCGTGGAGATGCTACATGTTAGATCAACCTTTTGATCTCTTCTTTGAGCTGATTGTAGGATTTTGTGGCAAGCCACAATACTTGTCTTGGTTTACAGGATACGTCTTGAGTGGACAAGGCCAATTAACATTCTCATTATTTTGAGTGGCCAATAGAACATTGATGCTGGAGGTGTTAAGGGGAGTATATCCCTATTCTTATTGAGGTTTCCATTTGTTATCATTGATGAGGTTAAGGTGGAAGACCTTGGTCTTTTGGTTGCACTTGCATCGGTTGTTAGGTGTGTTGGGTTGTTTCATACGAGCTTGTCACTTCATCAAAATTGCTGTTCTGTCAAAGAGGATCATCATCCATATCTTTAGCAAAAACATTTTGTAGATATTTTTTACAAAGGCTCTGGTACCACTCCATTTCTTCAATCTTTGCAGCAAGTTGTATCATTTTAATATGTATGCTCCAACTTGAGTTGGAGTGCTATCATAGAAATTTAAGTATATTAGAAGTTACTAATTATTCAATATTTTATTTTTATTATATAATATACTCTTATAATTTAGCAAATTCTCCTGTTTTTCTTCATTATGTCCTTCCAATTTTATCTGCTGTATTTGCCTATATGCTATATATAGTCATCTGCATTATAATGAAATAAATTAGTAAGTTTCAATTGTCTAACAAGCTGACGTCTGGAAAATGATTTTTATTTTTTACATTGTTATCAGCAACAAAAGATAAAAAATGTGCCAATAATATAAGTATATAAATTTAATATGAAGATAAATAAGTAGACCAAATGTAACATTGGCTTGAAGTTGTGCAAAAATATTTGCATTGAGCACTTGAATGTTTGGCGATTGTAGGAAGAAAATGTTTAAGAAATTATCACATTAGAAAGATTGTGGGAATAGCCACCCGTGAATATAAAGTAGTGGAAATAAACTTGATTTTGCTCTTATAGAATCAAGGGTGTAATATGCGCTAATAAAGTGGCTAGATAAATTTAATGTGAATTAATTAGAAAGAAAAGCCAGTAGAGATGATGGTGGGAGCAGTAACTAGTGAATATCAAGTAGTCAAAATAAATTGTTTTTTTTGCATGTACAATGAATGGTGTAAGATGCACCAAAAAGCTGCAGTTTTTCTGTGATTTAGAACTCTGACTGGTTTCTTTCTTCTTCTTTTTTCCCCACCTCTTAAGCAGATCATAGCCTTGGGCCCCTATTCAGCTATACTGCATGGTGGGCAAATTTGCAGCTAGAACTGTGTATTGGATGACTGCCTTTTCGAGCCATAGCCTGGGTGAGTTTTCATCGTCCATCCATGCATTTTGATCTATAATTCTATATGGTAGCTGAAAGGGTTTAACTTTTGTATCCTTAATTGGTTTAGCCTATAGAGTCCCATACCCACTTGTGATCCAGATGCTGCATCATTCTGTTCCAAGGCTACCCTATTGACTGTAATAGAGTTTTGCATAACACTGTTAACTCTGAAGGTAAATCTCATTGGTTGTGGCCCTGGAGGATCTCATCTTGATTTTAGCTGATCTTTTGAAGTTTTGATTAGAGGTAAGTTTTCTTGTTTTGCCTTGATTATGATTTTTACCTTTAATTTTAGTTCTGTAAGCTGTCATGTGAAATGTATTTCTCGCTATCTTAAGATTCTATGAGTGTATCAATCAGCGATTTTCAACGGTAGCAATTGTAGGTCTGAAGTGGTTCTGAGTTGGTTATCCCAACTCATTCCACATTTGGCTGCTGGAAGGAGATTGATTTTCTTGTCTTTTGTTGGCTTTGATGCTTCTACGGCTTTAGTGAATGCAGATGAAAATGGCATTCTTGCCTGACTTTGGCATCTACTTGCACATATTCTCTTTCTGTTTTCTTGTTCTTTTGGTTCTGCATTCTTCATTCCTTATTGACAAAAGTTTTTATATATTTATGACATTATCATACTTGCGAAGTATTTTTTATTGTTAACATAAAACAGCGGCCTTCCGATGACCCGGTTAAGAAAGTAGAGGTTTTAGATTTGACTTATGTTAAGAAAGGTAGAGGCAAACCTAAAAAGACTTGGTTAGAAAATATTAGGAATAACCTTTCTTTATTAGATTTAAACGAGAATTTGACTTTTAAAAGGACACAATGGAGAAAAAGGATTCATGTAGCCGATCCCACGTAGTGGGATAAAGTGTTGTATTGAATGGATTTTGCTGGACATTGCTTGTGTTTTTAAGATTTTTTATGTTAGTTTACATCGCTGAGACGGAGGGAAAAGAACATTTTCTTTAAGGACTAGAATCAAAGCAGCAATAGGATACTGCCTTGATTAAACTGAGACTATTTGTTTGCTAATATATTTTGTTCTTTTGTTCTAATGGTAGATGGGAAAGAACCGTGAAGCTGGGCCATCAGCTATCTGGTCATATGAAATCATAATGATGTTTTGCGACCTTTGTTTGAGGGAAGTAGCTCTTGGAAACCGGCCCAACACGCATTTCACCAAAGCTGGATGGACCAACTTGGTTGAAAATTTCAAGGAATATACTGGTAGGGATTATGACAGGCTTCAATTGAAAAACAAATGGGATCAACTGAAAAAAGAGTGGAAGCTATGGAAGGATTTGAAGAAGGGTGCCGCTGGATTTGGTTGGAATTCAAAGCGGAAAACCATTGATGCTTCTGATGAATGGTGGAAAGAAAAAATGGAGGTATAATTTCTTTCATACTTGTTTAAATACTGTAAATGCATCTTGTAAGATATGACTTCATATCTCCTGAACATTAGCCAGTGCTTTTGTATTAGGAGTTTCCCTCTGCCAAAAAGTTCAGGTACAGTGGCATCGACCCTGAGATGGAAGAAAAGCTTGATAAGATGTTCATGAGCGACGAGAATGCTTGGGCTCCCAATTCTGAATCTTTACCTCCTGTCACAACCGACGAAGACCGCGAAGATTTCGAAGATTGTGAAAGCACCAAATCTTTATCTGGAGATGCCAAAATGGTAAACGAGCTTAGGCAATCTTACAGTGGCTCAAAGAGAGCCTCCCAACCATCCTCTAATGGAAATGGGAACAAAAGCAAAAACTTTTGCCCCAAATCTGGAATGTCTGAGGCAACAGGTGTGCCTCAGATGCTTCAGGCTCAAATGCTTCAGGCTCAAATGCTTCAGTCACAGATTCAGCAATTAGTTGATGCTGCTACCCTTAGAAGCAAAGCCACAGTTGCACTGAACAAATCATTTACTATCACAGAAGCTATTGGAGTACTTGATTCCATTGAGGAGCTTGAGGAAGACACTGAACTCTATGGGTTTTCCATTGATCTTTTAATGCAGAAAGATTGCAGAGAAATGTTTATGGCATTGAAAGCTCACAAAAAAGTTTGGTATCTTAAAAGAGAATTCGAGAAAAGTAAGCGATCTGTTAATCATGTTTGACATATTCTAAGCTTTATAATTAGTATTTTTTCAATCTGATTATTGGTATTTAAGGTATAAGTTGTCTTCTGCAATGATGTAAAATGGTGTTATGTGGTTATTTTTATGTTTTTTTTCCAGTACTGAACTTTAGAAATTGAGGTGGTTTATGGGTTTAAGATCCACAACTTCTCACTTGTTCGTTAAGGGTTTTTTTGTGTGTGTGTGGACAGTTAGGTCAATTAAGATAAATTCAAATATACATAACATATGCAAAATTCGAATTCAAGATTTCTTGATTAGTAGCTAAAACTTTTAACAATGAATTATGATGTATATAGATTTAATACATTATTAAAAATCAATTTGATTGAATACAAATCTCAACGTATATTTAAATCGAAAACTTTCAAAAATAAATTTGTATTATTTGTATTTCGATTTCAATAAATTTTTAGTTAAATTGAATGTCTCAATGGAACAAATATATTGATATTGAAAGTGATCTAACCTAACTCCAAATGAGCCCAAATTAAGTACTAAAAGGGTAATTGAAAATATTGAGACATTATTTGGAGGATTAAATGATTTTCAAATCTAGCATGCATGTAGTCAATAATGAATGTTTCGATGAGGTGATTCTTACAATCCCATAATAGGCTAATTTTGACGTCTAAATGCTAAAAGAACTGCTTGTGATCATGGAAATTGATACGAGCCGTTTGAAGGAGTGTAATGTGTGACAGCCACCATCAGACCACCTGATTGTTGTTATCGGGAGACTGCACGACTATCACCATTAGATCATTGCCGGACCTTCACCCTGGGACCATCGTTGTCAAACCATCACCTGATCGTTGCCATCGAATCATTCATTGGGTTTCATTGTTGGCTCACCACCATAAAATTTCTATTATCTGGTCTCAGTCCTCTAGCCACTATTGCTTGAGTAGGGTACTCCAATCATCATTACCCAACAATGATCCTTTAATTATCGTCACTCGACTTTGATCCTTTTACGTCCTCCGAATCACAATTATTAGAATTTAATTCCTCAATCAACATAGCTAGCCTATGATCCTCCGTCCTCCGATCACATTCACCCGCATATGGTCCTCTGACCACTGTCACCCATACTACAGTCCTTCAACTTCATCTATGGTCACTGACTTTGTTGTCAGCCATTATTAAAAGCTTCAATGCTCGCCATCATCTATAAGGCAAATGCACACCATAAACATCAACTATGTTTTCCGACATCAACACCAAGATTTTATATTGAACTTTATAATCTCTAATTTCCTCTCCTTACAAGAGAATATATATATATATATATACAACAAACAATCTTTTAAAAAGAGCGCACATTCCATGGGGATCTCCTCCGATCATATTAACTTTCCTACAATCCTCTAACAATCATTGTCAGGCCACAATCTTCCAACTACATTGATGGTTGCTGACTTTATCATCTGCCGTCACTAAAATTATTGATGCTTGTCTCATCTATAAGGTTGATCAGGCTTTTAACACAAGCTATGATTTTTGATATTGCCATGAAGATTTATATTGAACTTCATGGTCTCTAGTTTCCTCACCTTAAAGGAGAGCTACTAAATATTCAATAAAGAATCTCCTAAAGTAGCTCATATGCCACATTCCTCACCCAATTTACCACATAATATATTCTACACAGCTTATACTTAGTCTATACCTCAATATATATTCTAATTATGAGGAAGGACATCATTTTAACATATAATGTATAATGTAGTAGAATCATTTTAGTTGTATCAGATCACATAAATTTTCACTTTCTAGATTTTTCACGTAAAATTATAATATCTTTAAATATTTTTAGTTGCATATATGTTGAATCTTCAAAAAATGCTAAGATAAATGACTTTTGTAACTCTACTGTTGTGAATTTTCTAGCACGTAACATAACATAAGCTTTGTTTGGGATGATTTTCTTAATGCTTCTTAAAATAATTTTTTAATATAAAAATTTAATTTTTTGTACAAAAATACTATTTTAAAAACCAATAAGAAAGCCGTCCCAAACAAAATCATAATTTTACACACTTTTATTAAAAAAATAAATATTTTTTGTATATTATATTTCAAATCTAGCAGCAGAACTTAATCCAAAAGACACATATGACATCATTTTTAGGAGAAATTATTGTCTACGCAATCCGAACGCAAAGTAAGGCTCGGATGCTATATATTTACTGCTTATTTTACTGTGTATTTTTTGATACATAATTTTTTCGTGACAAATAAGCAACAAATAAATAATACTCACAAATGAGTAATGACACACAATAAATACGCAAAAAATACGTAGAAAAAGTTATGTATAAAAATACGTAATAAAATAAGCAGTAAATACGTAGCATCCGAACCTTACTCTGCGTTCGGATTGTATACACAATAATTTCTCCATTCTTAGAGGGAAATTCCTTCTCCGAGAAGTAGAAAGAAGATAAGTGAAAGAGTAGACAAATTATAGCCATAGAACGGGCGAAAGAGAAACACTGCGAAGGGATGGCAACGCTTGTGACCATACCATCTTCGTTCACAAACCAGAAGCTTCTCCATGTTCAAGGCAAGGCGAAGCTTCGTCTTCTTCGCACCCAAACCCAGAGGTCAAGCAAATTCAGGGTACGGGCAGCAAAGCTCCCTGCTGGGGTAAGTAAGATCTGCTTCTCCGACAGATTTTCCTTGTTTTATTTTCTTAAATATAATTAGGGATTTGAAGGTGGAGATTCCCAAGATTGAGCCAAAGCTCACGGAACCCTTTCTCGGATTCACCAATACTGCTGAGATTTGGAATTCTAGGGCTTGCATGATCGGCCTCGTAGGGACCTTCCTCGTTGAACTGGTTAGTTCATTTCGCTTCTGAGAAAGATTTGATTAATAAGGAAACAATTCCAATTCAGATAAAATTCTCCCCTTTTTCCAGATTTTTCATAAAGGAATTCTGCAAATAATTGGTGTGGATGTGGGCAAAGGCCTTAATCTTCCTCTTTGATGCTGCTCTCGTTAATTGTGTTGTGTAGCAGAAAAAATGATATAATTTTGTTTATAATTTTCAGTATCAGTTGAAACTTATTCATTTTGATGCTTTTGAATAAGCTTAGATTGAGATTTTTTTTTGGAATTGATCGAAATTTTTTATAGGAGAAGCTTTTGATAATTGTTTATGATTTCAGTAAACTTTTTGGCAAAAATTAGTCAAAATTTTCCAAACTAGATTGCAAAAATTGAAACTTTTACTGATTGAGATGCATTATAGCTGTAACTGATGAAATAGGAAACTCAGGCACATTATATGTACAAGGCTTCAAATTTAAGACATCTTGATTTACAATCTTAGCTTAAAAAATAGCCTTTGAAAAATCAAAATAGAAATTGATGAAAATCAACTTCTCATGAATTCTGATTGAAAAAAAAAATTTTTTTTGATAGATTTTGTGCAAATTTAATTGGAAAATCTCAAATTTAGGATATCTTGATTTACACACTTTCAACCAACAAATTAAAATGAGTTGTATTGAAAAATAGCTTTTGAAAATAAAATCAAATATAGAAATATATGAAATCAACTTTTCAAGAATTCTGTTATAGAAAGAAAGAAAGAAAAAAAAAAAAAACGGGCAAATGAATCCTTCATAAATTCTGGTAGTATAAGATCTGTTACATGAATCATTTTTCTCCATTGTGTTCAATTAAGGGTCAATAGTCTAAATTTCAATCAACAGACTAAAATGAATTTCGTAGAAGAATAGCCTTTGAAAAATCAAAGTAAAATTGCTGAAAATTTAACTGTTTACGAATTCTTATAGAAGGAAAGAAGGAAAGAAAGAAAGCCGCAACAAACAAAATCGCCGTCATTAAGGCTTCGTTTCGGATGTTTTCTTACTATTTTGTAAAAGTCTTGAATTCAATATACACTCACACATATTGTATATATAAGATCTTGAATTTAAGAATTTTTTTTTTATAAATAGTCTAGTCTATCAATACAATCACATCAAGTTTTTATCCTACTATATTTGGGATCTGTCACATGAATCATTTTTCTTCATTGTGTCCAATTAAGAGTCAATAGTCTAAATTTCAATCAACTGACTAAAATGAATTCCGTAGAAGAATAGCCTTTGAAAAATCAAAGTAAAATTGCCGCAAATTTAACTGTTAACGAATTCTTATAGAAGGAAAGAAAGAAAGCCGCAACAAACAAAACCGCCGTCATTAAGGCTTCGTTTCGGATGTTTTCTTACTATTTTGTAAAAGTGTTGTAAAGAAAATATTTCGAAGTTATTGTAGAAGGCGGGTTCCTTATACATTTTTTTTTTAATTAATAAAAAAATAATGGCTAAATCGAAATTGTTATTGCGGATTGAAAGACAATCACTAAAAAAAATTATTTCAAATGAAGCCTAAATCTAATGAGTGTGTATGGGGTCCACTGAAAGGCCATTATAAAAAATAAAAAAAATAAAAAAAAACTATTAAATGGTGGATAATCATATAAGTTAGTAAAAGACTCATTTCATTTTGGGTGCTTGAAATTTAGAAAATATCTTGAAAAATGAATATTCTGAATTTTATTATTTGGTTGAATGCATTTATAAATTAGTATTTTTTTCTTAATTCATAAATATTTTTAATAGTGTTGATTTATTTTTAAATAAGGGAAAACAGGATTATTAATTTCTAAAATATACTTTTCATCTGTAAGAAATCAAATGTGCTTTAGAGAAGAAAATTGAAATATAGTTCTGTGACTTTTAACCTTATTGGAAATGTAAGTTGAAATAATCGAAATTTTTATCTGATCAGCTGCAAAACTAGAATTTGAGTCATCTCACCAAGATTAAGGATTCGTTTGGGACGGTTTTTTTATTGCTTTCTAAAACGGAGTTTTAGTACAAATTTTTTAATTTTGTACTAAAACGGAGTTTTAGAAAACAATAAAAAAGCCGTCCCAAACAAAACCTTATGGGATGGCTTTCTTACTATTTCTTAAAGCAGCTTTCTAGTATTAAAAGCTGCTTTAAGAAGCAGTAAGAAAACCATCTCAAACGAAGTTTAAGATTTTATTTGGGATAATTTTCTCACAACTTTATTTTTCTGACCGCAATCACAATTTATATTAGACTATTGTTTTTTCTGTTTAAATTTTTTTTTTTTTTTTGGAAGCTGCTTTTTACAGCAGTTAAAAAAATGTATTTAGTCTGCAATAACTTTACAATCATCTTTACAAAAGTTACTTCCTTACCAAACGAATCCTAAATTGAAATATAATACAATCCAATTTACCCTAGCCTTTATTTAGCTTTCTTACTTTTAGTACAGTTGTTGTAGAGTAAGTAAAATTTCAAAGCTATTATAGAAAATAATCTTTTAATACAAAAGTTTTTTTGAAAGTAATGAAAAAGCAATGGGTTAACAGAAATTATGATTACGATATGAAAAGTAAAACAGTAAGAAAGTTGTCTCAAATAAAATTTTAATCTTTAAAAAACAGGCTCTCAAACTAGTTCAATTGACACAAATCAAACATTCATGAGCAATTTTCAAAACATTCATGAACAATTTTGAAGCTTGAGGAGAACCCAATGGAACATATTAGGGCTCGAAATTTGTGCATATTTGAGCTTATTGATCTTCGGGCCAAATGGCCTGAACCATCCCAGACTCATATGAACTGATATGGCCTAAACCCTAATCCAATCAATCCTTCTTCTCACACGAGCTACGGCCATATAAATTAATTGATTAATTAATTATAAAAAAAAGAATAGAAAAGAAAAGAAAAAAACACTAGCTTCGGCCATAAAAAAGAGAGATTTACATACATACCACTTTATTTTATGCTATTTACATATCTAACACCCAAAATATTAATATTACATTTTTACAATCCATAGAGCAAATTTGGGTGCATTGAATGAAATATTAAAGTTTATAAGATGGTATGAATTGGAGTGATATATTTGATATTAAAATTGTATATGGGTGGTATACTAGTTAAATATTGCCCATCAATTGGATACATTAAAGTTCTCTAAATTTCAAGGTGGATTTGCATCCATACCCTAAAATATTTATAAATCAGATATTTAAATATTTATATTTATATGTATATCATCATAATATCTAAACCATATTAATATATGTAAGGCTTGTTCTTCTAAAACTATGCAAACCCTGCAAGAAATTCGCAGAAACTGCGCTTTAAAAAAAAAAATTCCAGATAGTCTACTTAATTTACTGAACATGAACAAGAGTCAACTATATTATAGTTGATTCAATAAGGGCTCAATATATACAATTGTTTATCTACTTTACAAATATATGCATATACTTAAAATTTTATCTTATTTATATATTTTAGTACTAAAAATAATCAAATATAATTTAAATTTATGAAAATGTTTTTAATTTCATGGATATTAGTAGGCCGGCAGAAATCCCGGTCTGCAGACATTAATCATGAAGCATATTTTAATTGAAAACTTCTAAACTTAGAACAATGAATAGTTATTTCAATAAACTTATAGTCAAAATGAACACATTGATAATATGAACACAAAGATATGAAAATGTTTCCATTTTGAGCATGAATCAACCCAAATTAAAGGCTTAAAAAGTAGTTCAAAACTTCAGGATATTGATTAGATGACCTAATGCTCTTCAAATTTGACATGTTTATAGTCAAATCGAGTGGCTTGACGAGATGAATCCAACTATCACAGCATCATTTTATTATGGCATCATTATGAATCTTAAATGTTGAATGAATGCTTTATAATCAAGAGAATCAATATAGGTCGTTTGATAGAGTGTTCCAGATTTTATCGATATTTATAGGCATGTCATCTCAAAAATTTATAAATAGGTGCTCACTCTCTACATGGAGGGGGAGGAGCTTGGGTTGAGATCTTAGACTTGGTGTTTAGATTCAAAAGAGATATGAGACTTTAAGGATCCTGAAGCACCACTACCAGGCCATCATCTAACTGTCGTCGTCGATCTTCCACAAGTTGACCACCACAACCCTCCAACCATCGCCACTCTTTGATGACGGCCCTCGAATGTTATCACCCGACTATAGTCCTCAGATAAATGTCATCCTACCATTGTCATCTAACTACGATCTTTTCGACCTCTATCACTCTTCAACTACAATCCTCCAAAAACAGTCACCCAACTATAGTCATTCCGACCTCCATCATCTTCCAACTACAACCCTCCAACTGCCATTGCTTGCTGACTACTATCCTCTCACCAGTGTCAATTGATAAGAATCCTCAAACTACCGTCTCATAATTGTGATCCTCAGGCCCGACTACGATCCTTCAAATCTCTATCGCTTGTCCGCTAAGGCCCTCAAATTGCCTTCACTCAACTACAATCCTCCAACCAGTAATCTTATAACATGTTGTTTGGTTACTTTGTCATCTACTAACTTCATCACCAACCATCACTAATAATGTCAATGCAAGTCGTTACTTATAAGATCGATGCATGTCATCAATATCAACTTTGACTCCCAAGTTCAGCACTAGGATTTGCGTTGAATTCAGAGTATGATCAAAACAACAAGCAAATGACCTATAAATGATGGTTACCCTCCCATGCATGGGACGGTTTCGACTTGGATCAAGTCATATGTTATGTACCAATGCATTCCCTTAAAAGAATGATATCATTTATAATCATTAACAAATACTAGTTTAATAATTTTAACTATGTCAAGCCTCCTAGTTTTTCCCTTTTATGAATTTTTCCTATAAAAACCCTGATGCCACTTGAAATTCCAATTTCTCTGTGAATGTTCCGGCTTAAAATTGACCTAATTATCAATTAAAAAATCTCTCCAGCAGTTAATGTCATCAACATTGACGCATTCTTAATATTATATGAAATTTTTTTTTTTAATTAGTTGTCAATAAATCTGAGCTCATTCATGACGAGCCATTAAGAGTTTTTTTTTCCCTCTGTTTGTTGCTGTTGTTGTTGATAGCCAGTGTCTGATGGTATAATTTGAAACCATCTAAGCTGCTGATATTACTTTATTTTCCTTAAGACTTTGATGACAAACTATTTTACTTATTTTATTGATAGAAAGAAAACCTAACAGCATC